GTTAGATCTTTAGGATGTGACCATTTGCTCTGTTTATAGGCTTATAAGAAGCAAATTGGTCGCCAATGTCACATCAGCTATAGTGTCAATCTCGAAGTGTGTGCTACCGCCCAAATTTGACGAGTTCAATTGGTTTTCTGAGTTCAGCCACGTAGATCATCATGCTAACTAGGTCGTAGTTGTGGCCTAGGCCATGATTTCCTATCACCTAAATAATCATTACTTGTTTTTAATTGGTGAATGATGAGGTACAAATGTTACAAGTGCCAGTCCAGGTGACGATGATTTCTTTTGGAAGATATCTGTTCAGGATTGAATGATGATGTTCTTGAACGACGATGGCACTAGGCCGAGCTAACTAGAAGAGCTCTTAGTCCATCCTCTTTGAAATAGTTAGCATCTTTTATTATCTTTTCATAATATGTGAAGAATATGAGGTAGAAGTGAGTTCAGACACCAACAAAATATGTGAAAAAGTAGAGAGTACAAATTTTACACGTGAATCATCTCGTGTCACTTTTAAAACCGAGACACTTCATCTTGTTAAATTGTAAATTTCTATTTATACATGTATTTTATTGAGGAACAACTTGGTGCATAGAAATGTGCAAGTATATACATGGGAAGAGATTGGCATATATTGTGATCTGTGTAGGAGTAATGATGGGGGATAAACATACGGCGAGTTATTTCAATTTGAGCCCCTGAAATTTCGTGAAAATCTCAATTGGGTGACTCATTTCTTAATTTACTTGATAAGTTTGTCATGTTACCTAACTATTTACATGAATATGCTCGCACAAATGACTTGTTTAATAAAAGTATACCAGACAGCTAACTATACATTTGAATTACAAAAGATTAGAGAAAATAAAGGAGTTCGTTGCTGAGTACAAATCTGCTTGAATTTAAACCTGCAACTGTCCGATCCTTTAAGACTTCTATTTGAATAGGTCTTTCCCGTGTTGATTCTTCAGTTATCTTATATTTGAATAGGTCTTTCACGATTTGGGCCTTTTATATTGGGTTCGAGTTTTTTGGACCATTCATGAAAGTGGAAATTACACTATCCCCTACTTTTGGAGATCTAAGTTCCAAATTCAGATTTTAAATTTTAGTTTACAAAAATCAGATATT